TATTTATCATCTTAGCGAAAACAACTAATTTTGGAAAATAGAACTTAAAAGCAGCAGAATATAAATGCATTTTTCACGCCCTCCCACTGCCACCCCCAACCCCCGCCCGAAACGCGATAGTGTTTATTAGGATGTCTGAAAACATGTTTTTTTAATTTGAAACAATTAATCGCTTAGTTAATGTAACTCGTTTCACACTTTTATTTTAATTTTACTGCAAACTTTTCTTCCACCAAATTGTCAAATATTTCTTCATTAGTATTCTTTTAAACTAATGCACATACCTAGATACACTCTTAGTATCAAAACGTGAAAAGAATTGTATCTTTCGAGTCTCTCTTCCCCTCATACAAAATATTTTTAAAATCAAGCTGTGCAACCAGGAATGTAAGGCAAAATTGAAAAATTAGTCACTAAATACATACTTACAAGAGTGTTACAACCGTTTAGTCTTAAACTACGTAACACAAAAGAATTAAAACCTACATGGTGTGTAAAATTAAAAAGTTTATCTCTCTACAAAGTGAATATTTAAAGAGATCTTACAGCATTGTGATTTACATTCCAAATAGTCATAAAATGTATATCAAAAGTCTATAAATTTAGGGTATTGTGAAGATGTGCTAGTAATTTTGAATGTGCTAATGTGCCAAAGGTCTTGATGTATCATAATAATATAAATACAAAATGTCTTTGAGTGAATTCACAATGATTCAAAATAGTTGTCCAGTCCTGAATCAAAAAGTATTTTTTAATTCCAATAAATAATTTAAATTAATAAATTAAATCCCTTCATGTGAACAAAAGTAAAACTGATTCCACTAAAACTGATGATAGGGTATGGAATGAATAATTAAGAAGTAAACGGCATTTATATAACAAACTAAGACACATGTCAGGATGATTACTAGTTTCGTATTAAATTTGCAAATAAGGCTTCCATAGCAATCATACTTACTAAAGAAACTTGTCATTGAACTCAGCATCTGTAAACATGCATACATCGCAGTAATAATGATCTTAAAATATAATTCAAAATTATAAACAAATATTATCTATGTAATATGTTGTTTAAAAAATAAAGCGTTAGTCAGGTAAGCCCGAAACTCAACAACCGACCAAGGTCAACTACACGATATAAATACATTTAATATGCGGAGAAAAGCCAGCAGACAATAGAAATTAAACATACATAACCCAGTAATGTCAAGAATAATATCGCTTAGTCATTTAGATAATATAAAGTCTACAATAGAGGTTATTTGGTGCAAAATAACAAATTATATAGTTCTTTTCTATATTATCTCATGGGCCTTCGGGCAATCAAACGAAATATTGGCGAAATAAGTAGCACTGCATATTTTACAAATATGAATGAGCCTCAAAACATTTTTTTCATGCGTTGAATTTTAATATTCTCCAAATCTATTTATATACCAATGTAAATTTAACTTATTTGATTTTGAATTTTCTTGATAACTATCAATACTTACATTATTATTATTAATAGTAGCAGAAGTAGTAGTAGTAGTAGTAGTTGTAGTAGTAGTAGTAGTAGTAGTAGTAGTAGTAGTAGCATAAAACGTAGTCGACAATAAAAGAATAATATTGATTTTAACTAATTTATTTACAGTGTTGCAACTGTAAATCTATAACGCCATATAACTTCATGTATTTTCAGCTTGGGGCCCCGAGTGGCAGAGTAGTTTAAAGCGCTCTTCGTTACTGCCATCTCACCTCTATCTGCGTGGGTTCGAGTCTGGGATTCGGCCGATGTGGTTATGTGAGAAAACTTACTAGTATCTTCTTGTGGATCGGTGGTTCTCTCTGGGGTTTTCTCCACCATTAATACTGACCGTCATGTATAGCCTATCGTGTGCTGAAAAATGGCGTTAAACCCTACAACAACAACAACAGCAACAGTTGACCCAGAAGGAAATGTATCACGTTTAAAGTATACAGCCAAACAATTTAAGGTATTTTTAACATTAAACAAATTCTCACCCATGAACTGAATTAAATCCTAGCATTACATGTAGAGATAGTGACCACAGTCACTGGATAACAAAGGCAGTGATGTTCCAGAGATGTGTTTATCGATTATGAAATTGAGACGATTATTGACCTTGATTCTTCTTTGGTGATTGATGTCGCTGCCATTAGTGATATTGATTTGTGTTGGTAACATTTATGTTGGTAACTTAATAGTAAGGGAAAGAAAGAGTCACCAGGAGATATAATTACGCTGTTACAGAGATTACACACGTCCTTTTTAAGTTTTAGCATGCAATTACATAACGTATACAAGCTGGTCCTTATTGATACAAAATACATAAGACATTATATTGTATTATATAATCACTTTTTAGACACATTTCACATATTTAGAGGTATCACGATGACAAAGCTTGACTAAGGTTAATTAGGGCCACAAGGAGACGACGTTGGAAAAAATGCACACCATAAAAGCAACGTGAACAAAGTACTGATTTCACTTGAAGCAATAGGGATTTTAATTGATAGGGGTTGTAAAAAGACGTAAAGAAATATATTAATAACAAATATTTAAATGTGAAATCTGCTATTTAGACCAATCTACCATAATATCCGAAATATCAGCAACAGTTACGCTCTTCTCCTGAACCATATGTCTGTAACTTATAGAACAAATATCCTTTCCAGAGATTAAAGATATCACAGAGCCGTGATATTAGAAGCTGCATGAAGGAGTTTAAATATATATGCATACATTCATGTGCACCTACGCAAGTACAGGATAAATACATACTAGTAGACTAAATGATATGTAGGCAGTGAGATACTAGTCTAAGTTAAATACACTTACGAAGGCGATATTCCGAATCGAATTTTTTTTTTATTTAAAATTCATTATTTTGAGATTGTTCTTGAAATTTATTTACCTTCCCATTGCAAGTGGAGTCTAACGTTCCAAGAAAGGAAAGATTATAATTTAATATGCATCATATAAACTAGGGCTGAAATAATTAAAATACAGAGATATCAGTTAATCCTGTCAAGGAAATAGACAATTAAAAGTGATTCTACACTTTGAAAAACAGTGTAAACTATTAAACATTTTTAATGTTCAGCAGTTTTATAGTTTTATTCAGAGATCTATTCATTGATGCGAATTTTATGGATACAGACTTACATTTTATTTTTATGTAATGAATCACCGCTTTATTAAATACAATTTAAAACAGAAATTGACTCCTGTTTCAAGGTGACTCTTTGTTGATCTCTTCTCTCTTAATACCTATATTTATCCTCTTTAAATTTCATAATGTCATATTCATTGTTCTAGTAAATGAAGTCATTTTGTAATTTTAATAGTCTTAACTAATCCCATTTATTGCAATGGTCTTCCAAGTGTAATTATTGTGTAGTTTTTTAGTATACCTAATAGACAATTTATTCAAATGGTCTTCCAAAATATATAGCACTATGATAATCGTATATTGGCTTCTTTTCTAAAATAAATTTCTGTCTCGCTAGAAACCGGAGAGTAATACTTTGTGTATAAAAAGTTTAACATTTTGTCTGTTAAAACAGAAGGAAAATGTCCTTTTATAACCTCGTCTAACGACAACATAAAGACTTGGCATGTGCTCTGTGGGATGTGATTTGTTGTTTAATAACACCAATTATATTCTTGAAACCAAATGCAAAATGCTATCATTTATAATAGGGGCTCTCCAAGTAATCTTCTGTTGCAAAATGTAGGTAAAAGGAAAAGACTTAAAAAATAAGACGACAATTGCTGTGCAAAACTCAGCAGAGTAGGTACAGTTGAAAGATAGTGGATATAACAGCACAAAGAAGTTAACATTAAAGTTTGTAACTGTGCATTCAGAAAATGTATTCATATATGGATGCCTTTTTTTACTCTATTTAAAATATCACTGACCTGCGATGGGTTCTCATCCGGTTATCGATTGTAGAGTAAACTAATGATCATTTTGTAAATATCAAGTTTATGCAGCTATTGTTTGTAAATGATTGTAGATTGTACTTTAAGATAACGGCAATTTTCAAGCACGTTGACCAGAACGTTTGTACTCTGAATGATGTTATGGAATTGAACTTGTGATGCACATCCTGGTCATCTTACTGTGTCTTACTTTTTACATACGGTAGAGCTAAATATAAATTATTCAATCCTATTTCAATATTAGACTGGAACCGTTTAATATTGTGTTCATACATAATTTTAGAGTACTAATTTAATTTTAATTGTTTTACAAAATTGCTCATAAAACAAGTGAAACAGTGACAGTCAAAATTAAAGGACTGCATTTTTGCATGGAATATAGCTATTCTTCAAGAGCTATATTACAACTAATGGAAAAAATTGAAAATGAAAAGTGATCATTCGAATTTTTTGTGTATTAATTGTATTTGCCTATTTGGCCTGGAAGTTGATTAGATTAGATTAATATGTATATTATCAGTTATCTAACTTCTGTTCCAGCGGTCGTCAAACTTTTATCTGAGAAAATAACTCCTTCACTAATCTAAAAAATAGGTCGTATAATAGCAAAACCTCATTCACTATCCATTCAGAATGTATTACACCATCTTTTGGTTCAGTGGTCATTAAATTTGTAAAGTCTGGATCAGTGGTCTTCAAATCTGCTAGGAGTGTAACTCCTGACTTGTACGAGCGTAAATTCTGGTTAACCCAATTAAACCAAGTATTTTTTCCTAATCGTTTCACTGTTTTAAGTCATCAATACTTCTTCGTGCTATACCAAATAGTACTACAAAGTCGTTTATCTTATCAGCTTTACAATGTTTCAAAACGTTTTTTTTATTCCAATAGATGGTTTCATGTGACACTCATCGAGTCACGCCCAATAAGATGGTTGAAATAGATAGATGAGCAATTAGATTTAAGAAAAATTTAATCGCACTTTCACTCACAATACACTATTTAGCTTTTTCGAAGTAAATCTACCTCTCTAATTAAGAATAAAATCGCTCCGGTGGCCTAGTGGTTAGAGCGTCCGCCTCGAATGTGGGAGGTCGTGCGTTCCATCCCCGGTTGAGTCATACCAAAGACTTATAAAAATGGTACTAACGGCTGCCTCGCTTGACGCTCAACATTAAGAGGTAGTGTTAGGACTGGTTGGCCTGGTGTCAGGATAATGTGACTGGGTGGGACATCATGCTACATGTCTGCGGCATTATGCCCTAGTGCTAGACATCACTTCGTCTCCAAAATATTGTAATAACTCTGGTCTTCAAAGTTGTATATTACCACTCATATTAGAAATATATCAATTATTAGTAGTTTTCATAGATCTACTTTAATCACATGAATTGCATTATTGGAGTAATTTGTTTATATTATTGACTTCGTCGAAGTAAGTTTTGCTCACACTACTTTAAAGTATTCAACATGCAAATTTTGATCAGAAATTACTAGGGAGAGTCTGTGGTAGCTTTTTGTTTTCAGCATTATAGTGTACAATGTTACCATAAATAAAGCTTTGCATTAAATGATCTGAAAACATGGAATCAAAAGGTTTCTGCTGAAAATACACACTTGTTTTAAAAAAAAACAGATCAATTTCACGTTATCGTTTATGTCCAGTTAGATTACAAAAATCTCAATGAATTCGTAATAATTCGAATTATTGTCATTTGTGCTAATAGAGCCATTTTCTACAACTTATTCTGAAATTAGCTTTTCGGAGCAATAGTTTTGTTGTTGCAATATTAAACACTCGCAGGCCTCCATAAATATATTAATCGTACAAGTATCCAACTAAATACGTTCTACAGAGATCGATAACAAAGCAGAGATAGACAAATTTGCTCCTTTACACACACACATAACATCACACATATTAACGCACGCACACACACACATACATACATATATATATATATATATATATATATATATATATATATATATATATATATATATATATATATATATATACACATGAAGGCTTGCAAGTGTTTAAGTCGCCATAATGCACGGATTGGTTAGTGTCTCTACTATGAGTTTAGCGACATTCAATCATGGATAGGTTTGTTTAAACTGAACAAGATAGGGGTCAATTTCTGATCTGCATGGAAAATTGTCATTTCTGAAAGTTACCAGGAATTAGTTCCGTAATCACTGTTTGTCAGGCTAATTGCATTGTTTGAGCTTATTTCAGGAGGGAAATATATGTTTATTGCATTGGACACTGAAAGAGAGCGTGATTTCACATGAAAACTCAATTTAGATATACCAACAGCAAATTTGAAAAATATTCTACGCTTTTCCACAAGAGAAAACTAAGGTAAGAAAACCCCGAGTAATTTAAGAGGTAAATTCACTCGTGAAATCATCCAGGGGAAATGATTATCTTGAACTTGCGAGGCATGATGTGGAAAGTTAGGGCCTGAAAACACAAGGTAATTGCAATAATCTTACGTAATTCGTTGACTCTACTATGATAATTTGTTGCTTTTTTGCTGGTATTTGCGTGGATTTATTTCTTAATTTCGTAGATCAATTATATATATATATATATATATATATATATATATATATATATATATATATATATATATATATATATATATATACAAACACACACACACACACACACACATATATATATATATATATATATATATATATATATATATATATATATATATATATATACGACTAGCTTAAAGGAATAGTCTCTATCATTCTAGGAAGTTATTTATTTAGAATTTCATGCCTTATTTTAGCTGAGATTACGAGACTCAGTGTGAATTCTCCGACCTTATTAGAGATTGCATATGATAATGACTTTATTGTGTTTATTTGTTCTAAATACCGTAGTGTAAGAAATTTCATTCATTATTTTGTGTAATGAAGACTAGTCTGGAATTAATGTCTCTGTTTGGTGTTGAAATAGCCATTAGCAGGACCATTAATTTTGTGAAACTAGGTTTGTTTACTGTATGTCATGGTCAATTAGACTCGACAACCGTGCTATATGATTGAATTCCGATAGAAACATATCTGACATAATAAAGAAGGTATTGATTTATTCCCATATGTATAATGTGACGGAAGATTTATGTTGCTCTTGTTTATATTTTTGGAAGGCGAGATAGCTTCACGAGACATAAATCTGACGTGACGGGACGTCTCACCTATTTACAAACCCAAATTGGCATCACAAAGTTGGAAGGGCAGAAAGTGACGTGACACCTAAGAATTTGGTAAAGGAAGGGAAAAAGTGGAGACTAATCGGCACAAGGAAGTCCAAAGGAAAAGTTTGTAATTTAAAAAGAAGAAAGCGCTCCTCTGATGAAAGTCACATTTTGATGTTACCAAAAATGTACATCCTTTCAGAGACCAAGGTTTGGATCGATTTTTTTCCGAATTTTGAAAACATTCCTAAAAAGTTAAGATGGCTAAGAGACCTTTCATATAGCTTAAATATTCATTAATTTGATGATGTCAAGGCCAATCATGATGAGAAAAAGGTAAGAACATTCAAAGATGCTGTCGCACAGCTAACTATTATTTCTACCTCTCGGCAAGATTTTAGTAAAAAAAAAATCTTAGTCTTACTAGCACATCCAAATTTCAATCTGGCACAACTTATACAAATCAAACTTCTGACACGACTAATAAGAAATCCTTATATCTTCCTATATGCATCTATTACACGAAAATAAATAACTTTGTTTATGATTGCTATAAATTAAAAACATAAGAGAATATTGATGACCTATTCCAAATGCTTTCTTTAGGTGAAGTCAAGGTCAAGTATTGGAAGTAAAACAATTATTGGGTAGAACAAACCCAGCCCGACTTTATTATGGAGAATTTATAAAGTAATCAGGTTGAAAGGTCTTTTAGATGAATTCACTCTTGTTCCTGTCATTCATGCTTTATCTTAGTTTGTGACCATCGAGTCTTAATACGATCAATATTCAATTATTTTACCTTACATAACTTTCATAGTTCGCAGCCTTAGCCCCAGCCCCAGCCCCAGCCCCAGCCCCACCCCCACCCAAAATAGCCACTTGATCGTTAATTAGCACATTCCATTATTAAATGTATAACTGAATTCACTAAAGTCATATATACGTTATCATGGAGACCTCTCCAGTGTCCTAGTGGTTAGAGCGTCCGCCTCGGATGCGAGTGGTCGCGGGCTCGAACACCGGCCAAGTCATACCAAAATACTACAAAAATGGAACTAACAGCTGCCTCGCTTTGCGCTCAACATTAAGAGGTTAGTATTAGGACTGGAGAACCTGGTGTCAGGGCAATGTGATTGGGTGAAACATAATGCCACATGTCTGAAACATGATGCCCCAGTACTAGACATCACTAAAAATTGCCACACTGCAGACATCGTAGCGATTTGACTTAAAATTGTTAAAGATGCGTTAAAAATTAAAATTACACACTTTATCTTCGAACAAAGAGCTATTAGATTCCCAACTGCCGTTTCCTTTTCCTTGATATGAGTAAGATAAGCCTATTGAAATTAATGAATGACCTTATTTGCAATTACACTTATGTTAAAAGAATTAAGAAGAGGCTCAGTTTTTTGCCGAAATTGAGAAGCAATTTAGTCTACATATGTCATGCACTATCCAAGTATAGCGACTTTTGTCGGCGCTCCTCTCTCCAGATACATATCAAATCATAGCTCTACATCATGGAGTGATCATTTGACTGAGTTAATATTACTTTGATGAAGTTTATTTAGTTCACTTCACTCGAAATATTATAATCTTCCACTATAATGATTGGTGCGTTACTTACGTCATCTGAAAAAGTTTCGATTTGAAGGAAAAGCTTGGTCTGGTGGGTATATAGCACATACAGACTTTCTGTAATATTGCTAATTGACCTACTCTTCACGGCATCAATAGCTTAGTTAAATCTGAGGTGACTATATTATCTTGTTTTAATTACACACTCTCTTGTCCTTTGGATAATATTTTAGACGGATGTGCCGTCATTGATTATGTTCTGTCTTATTTTCCTCCTTTTGTGGGATATGTTGATTTTGGAGAAAATCTTTGTTGATTGTTTATTACTTGTTGCCAATTTCTCCCTTAGTTTTACTTCCTCCTAGAGATTGTTTACTTGCTTTTTTCTTTGTGGTTTCATATCTTTAATACAAAATATATAGCACATAGTCCTATGCCACCAAATATGGCAGTTAATATGAAATACATCTCACAGACTCTTTTCACACCCGACATAGATATAACTGGATAGCTCCTTGCTCTCAGTAGCCTATATAGTTGTAACTATTATTCTTGGGGTTTTCCTTAATATACTGCAAACGCTTTTCAAAATTCAATTTTAACTCTTATCGATAGCAAAATTGCCTTATATAGTGATTAGAAATCTTGAAATTTTATTATTCTAACTAAATTATAAGATTTTTAAACATTTATTTAATTTACATTCAGAGTACCTTAAAATTATATTAAATGCACCTTCTAAATTCTATTTAAAGTTACAAATCTCTTAAAGAGTATTTTTAAATATGGAATGTCTAACGTAAATATGATCTGCATTGAAAACTTGAATTGTTTTGTTTGCTTTGTACGCTTTCTGTTTCAAAATCAATGTGCTTAATCACAAAACAACCATTTTATGCCTAAATTAATGCCAAAAAAGTTAGTAATTACGATTCTTTGTTAAATTGTCTTTCTTTAATGTTTTGAAAATTGCCAAAGATCAATATTATTGCAGCTGACAAGACAGAGTATTGTGCTATTTTATGAGTGTTACTGATGGTTGTAAATTAAACAAAAGCACACTAAACGAAAGTACTATTTAAATAAGATCATAGAGGAAAAATAGCACAAACAGCTGTTATTTTTAACATGCACAGAAAACAATTCAGATAAATATTGCTGTAATTGAGTCATATTTATAATGTGAAGTCAACAAAGGACAGGAATTCAAACGGGTGTACAACTGACAATAATTAATAATATCTTTTGCTAAGAATTAAAAAAATTAGCAAAAATGATTATAATTTAACTAAATCATTTATCTACGAAATTACCCC